GGCTGCTTAACAATAGATGCCTAAACTTGATGGAGTAATGAAAATCAAATTGATTCAGTAATTTGATTTGGGTTGAAAATCATATTAGTTGAACAATTTGATCTGGTCATAAAAGTTAGGTTAAAGTGGGCTTTTGGTTGTCTAACTTTATATAATATTGAATAATTGTGTTGTCATTCTCTTAAGCTTAGTTGTTAATAGATTTAGGAGTAATTAATTTTTTTGAGTGGACCTTAAAGTAATTCTCCCAAAATGTTTAGTCAACCCACACTAGCCATCAATTAATTACGTTATTACAGATTATACATGTCTATCCTGATGATTAGCTGCGCTTAAGGCTGGCTAATCCTTCCCCCTTGCCCCAATCGATAAATACTTTTTTAACCTATGACAACGTAGACATATATACATGTTATAATATCACTAGTTTATTATTAGTATGAACTAACATAACTATTTATTCTATTATATAATTATTTGCTTTATATCGCCTGTGCTATATATCTATATAAAATTTAATTTATCAATAATAATAACAATATGACTAATGAATATGATCAATTTTCTATGTTGGTGATACTTTCTAAGTGTGGGTTCATGGAGGTTATATAGTTTTCTATTGGGACCCAATTTTTGTCTAGAAAAAAAATATATAAATGAAAACAAATCCTACATAGCTTCATAAAATTGAAGACCAGAGCGTCCCAATTGAAACATATTTCAAAATTCCTAATTGGATTTCCAAAGACCAAAAAAAAAAAATAATTAAAGAGAGATACGTATTGCAAATGTGAAATTCAAAAGCGACAGGTGAGAATTTTACCCTTAATGGAAATGTCATCTTACAGCGTGTTTGGAAAGGCCAAAAAATCGATTATTTAGGTCAAATAATCAATTTTCAGAATAATTATCCAAATAGTCAGAATCTTGATAATTGATTATTTGAGCTAGAATCACTTTTTAAAATAACCTTGAGTAAGTTTCTTATAGATTCAATTTTATTATTAAATAATATATTTTACTTCTTAGATAAAGTTTAATAAATTTAATAATATTGAATACAACTTTATCAATAATTTACTTTTAAAAAGAAATGTCCTTTATGATAATTTATACAACTGAAATTAATTTTAGTATCCAAACATATTGTGTTATAGCATAATCAATTATAATTAAAATTAATCATATTAATCAATTATTTTGATAATTAGTTATATCCAATTGAAATTCAAACAGACTTTTAACATGAATGCTAGGGTATCATTAAAATGAGGTAAGCTTTATGATGCCTTTGATATCATTGACTCCAGTGACACTTTAATAGCCATCGTGTTCTACTCATAGGCTTTCAGGGTAGCATGGCGGAGAAGTGAAAAGAGAAAAACAAAAATGAGATTACAGAAGAAGGAAGAACTATGATCTGTGGTGAAGAAATCAATGGCAGGAAATTTAAATTCTAAAATATCCATTTAATTCCACATACAATAATGGAAAGATTTTTGCATCACTGGATGGCATGTTCAGTTGGAAAATTGAAATTTTTGTCTTCGGCTCTTCTAAAGCACAAAGCAAGAAAAGGAGATGAAGCCCGTCATGGTAACTTCTTCATTATAAATTTAAAAACTAAGTCAATATATATATATATATATATATAGTATGAACAACCTATTCACATTGTGTAACATCCCAGTTTAAATTTTAATAGTTAATTTAGGTTAATAGAAATTTTAAAAAATATTTAGAGGTAAGCAAATTAGTAGGAGATGATTATTAAATTTAATTTAGGATATAATTCTAAATTAAAATAAAAAAATTAATTAATTAAAAAAATTATTATTAAATTATTATTATTATTAAAAAAAGAAAAGGTATAAAAAAAGAAGAAGAAGAAGAAGAGAAGGAATGGATATTTTCAGCGTTTCCACGTGCCATCATTACATATATATATATATATATATATATAAAAAAAAAAAAAGAAAGAAAGAAGAGAGAGGAAAGAGGAAAACAATAAAAAAAAGATGTGGGACCTACAATATTTTTTTTAAAAAAACCCATCCCTCCTTCTTCGTTTCTTCATTTCTCCTTCCTTTTTTTCATTTCTCTTCGTGTGCGAATAGAGGGGGCGACAGTGCGCAAGTTCGCTGGTACTGGGTTTTAAGGTAAGAGTTTTTAATAGAATATTTAGGGTGTGATTTCAAGCTTTTCAAGACTACGTATGTGATCTAAAATTTATTCTTAGCCATCCTTTCTTTTTGGTTTCTGATTTTGTGGTGATAGAAAATTTAGGATTTGGAAGAGGAATGAATTTATGTTGAATAAATATGGTTTTTGCGGTTGTTAGTAGTATAATAAATGTTCTAGAATATAACTTTGTTGATGAGCTTTGAATTTGAGGCTTGTGGATCAAATTCTAGACTAGATTTTTATTAAATCTGAAAATATATGTTGATTTATTGAGGTTTAGATGATTATTTGGGATGAGAAGTGAATTATTATGGCTATAGGATTATGATTCTAAGCTAGAGACTCAATTTTTAATTTTTGAATATTTTATGTGCCAATTTATGAAATAAAAAGAAAATTTTGATAATAGAAATTAGTTTAGAAATTGATTTTTAAATTATTAATATTTATTGATGAGTAAAAGAGGAGTTAAAACTTTTACTTAATAGTATTAACTCTAGATTTGTATTAAGACTGAGATTAGGAATTATGTTATATTTTTAATTCTATTATTAGAATTATTTTATTAGTTTCAATAATTGAAACTAATATTTATAAATAATATGTTATTTGTAGATTGTGTTATTGGTGAAGATTGTGGTGGGAGAGAAATTTGTAAGGAATAATTTATTGAAAAAGCCACGAGGTAATCATGCTTTTAATTTGTGATTAGTGTTACTTCATGTTAATTAGGTGATTATTGAGAAAATTATGAATTTTATAATATTGTATAATTGTGCAATATTATTATGAATTTGTTTGATTATTGTGGGAGGTGTTGGGAAATTTGCTATTGTTGTTGTATTTATGTGCCACATGGTACGCCCCTATTGGAGCTCAATAGGTGGCTTGTAAGGGTTCGGACTAATCTACCTTTGGCCGGGTAATTTAGCACCGAGTAAGGGCTACGGCTCGAGGTTAATGGAGGATATAAGGGTGGTTATTTGTGTGTATTGTAATATTTCTTATATTTTGTTGGAATTATATTATTTTTAATTCTCACTTAGTAAACACACACTTAACTATTTGTATACACTATCATAAATTGGCTTTGGTTATGAGACTTTTGAGTCTCATTATGTGGTTAACAATTTTTAGGAGAAGAGCCACGAGTGACACGTGGAGGAGTCCCAGAGGCTTAGTGGCATAGATCCACTGTCTCTTTTGGGTATTTGATTTATGATTTATAATATTTTATATTGCCAATATTGGGGCTTTTTGTTTATTGACAATTATATGAATATATAAATGTAATCATGCCTTTCAAACTATTTCTATTTTTAGTACACTTTGGATGACTGTAATTTTAATATTTGGTTTACTTTGGATTGGTTAAAATGGCATGATTATGAGGCCAATTACTGGCTTATTTTAAAAATTGAATAAATTATTTACTTTACTTGTTGGGAGTATAAGGATGGACAAATGTGATTTAGTTTACTTATTGGGAGTATAAGGATGGACAAATGTGATTTAGCTTAATGGCATGTGGGAGGTAAAAATTTAGCTGAAATGTTGTATTGTGCGAGTTGAAGCCAATTATAAAATATTTTTATATTAAAATTATTGATATAAAATGTGTTGGGTGGTTGTAACCCAACTATGGTTGAATTAAATTATTTAAAAAAAAATTTGGTGTGTTACACATTGCAGATTTAAATTATAATTAACAATTAAAATTAATTTCACAAATAGGATAGGGGTGAGGACATTATGATACTTGAAATTTTTTTAATATTTTTAAAATGTTCTAAGATAAAATTTAAAATTTTGAATTAGTTGAGAAGCAATGGACTTACGATCGAGATCATGGGAGAAAATATTTTGGGATAAGGAAAAGCAATTGTTGCTAATTTTATTAGAGATAATGATGATATTATTTTTGAAAAAATAATTTTAAAAATTAATGATGAAGTGGATAGCTTAGAATCACAATATTTTAAAAAAGTGCTTGTTATTCTTATATTATATATATATATATATATATATTTCAGGACTTATCTGAAATTTAAATGAAGAAGTCAATATATTTTGCTCAGATATAAATTTTCATTGCATTTAAATAATATTGATCTTTTAAGTAGAGAAATAATTGACAAAATTTTATTTAACCTTATTTAACATTATTAATTTATTAATTTATTTAGTTTTTAAAGATCATGGCATGAAACTATACCTTTAAAATTTAACTCTTCTTGAATAAATTTTATTTTCTCAAATAATTATTTAGTAAATTTTAATTAACCTAAAATAATCTCATCAAATTTAAATAAATATTTAATAGTTTCAATTTACTCAATAAATTAATTTCTATTACTTAAATTTTATAATAAAAGTTATGATGTTACACATTGCCTATAACCTCACACCATGTCAACCACTGCGAGTGCATAATCTTGTCTCATGTCATAAAAAGGATCTCATAAATATGTAATTGATCTAATTAACTTCTAATTATTTCTCTACCTCATAACAATAAGGTTGATTTAAATAAGTTTTCATATTCTTCTTAGTACTAATTTATTATAAAAAGCTTTTTAGTAACTTCTTATTTTCTTTTTAATAACAATGGAAACATAAACACTAGGTAAAATCATGTGACATCTTTGTCCAAAAACTAAAAGCCATTAGAGCTTGATAGATAAAGCTAACATGATGGCCTTGTTTGGTATGTGGCAATGGGGGGTTGGGATTAGGACTAGGTTTAGGTAATACTACTTTTAACAAGTTTGGTATGAAGTATTTAACAATCCCTAGGCTTGCTCAATCCCACCTAAATGAGAATACTCAAACCCACCATCCTCAGGTACTGCAAATTTTATCTTGGGATTAGAATTTTTTTGATTGAAATGACCCTAAAAAATGCCCAGGTTTTCTCCTCCCTTAAAGAACTCCAGCACGGCACCTTCCTTTTCCACCGTCGACGACCTCCAACACTCCACCTTACTTTCTCACCGTCAATGACCTCCTGCTATCCACCTTGCATCTCCTCCATCGACGACACTTTTGTAGAGGAATAGATTTAAATCCAAGACAAAGAAACCCAGAAATAGTATAGCAATGATGTTCAAGCTCAAAAAGAAAAATTGCAATCTTACAAAAAACTTCAACAGCTCAAAACCTTTTTCTCTAAAATGACAAAATGGATGAGAAATCCAATAGTACAATCACAAAAGTAGAACTTCTTGTCTGAGAAAAACACAGTACTCAAGCTTAAATCTCCACCATTATAGAAGCTACATAGAGCTTCAAAATTTCTAGAATTTCAAGAAAAAAAATCAACAAGTACATAGAAAAATGACATATCTGCTTCAAAAAATCTTCGAAGTGACATGTGAAATTGTTGAACACCATTGCAATGCAAAGCACTCTTATCTATTTCCTCAATCGATCTCACTGCAGGTGCTCATCTCTATCTGTTGATCTCTATCATCGCATAGAGTTGCAAGCCTTCATCCTTGAAGCAAAGAGTGATCATGCAAGCAGGCAAAGAGGGAGAGTGAGGGAGATGGGTTTGATTTCGCAGAGGGAGGAATGGGCTTTTAGGTTTACAATTTTTTTATTAATTATATAGGGTATGGTCTTTTCATGATTTATGTTTAAGTGTAAAATAAAATAGAGTTGCAAGCCTATCATCGCATAGAGTTGCAAGCCTTCATCCTTGAAGCAAAGAGTGATCATGCAAGCAGGCAAAGAGGGAGAGTGAGGGAGATGGGTTTGATTTCGCAGAGGGAGGAATGGGCTTTTAGGTTTACAATTTATTTATTAATTATATAGGGTATTTTGGTCTTTTCATGATTTATGTTTAAGTGTAAAATAAAATAAAGGGAAGTATTCCTTATAATCATTACTTCATACCAAACGTAATTTTAAAGCATTATTTTCAATTTCAATCCCAATCCCAACACCAATGCCAATCATAATCCCTATCCCTCTAAACCTAAGCATGCATACCAAACAAGTGTATACTAGGCCAAATGTCAAGTGTGCAGTATGCCATGTAGTGCGCAATGCCATTCGTATCTCATGAAATTTATATGTACAACTTTAATGTCTTAATCCCTTTGAATCAAACTTCCAATATCCATAATAGCACCCCTATTCAAGTAACTTTTTTTACAGGATCACAAAAAATTGAATCTAAAGCATAAAGTTTTAGAATACTTTTACTTTGATGTATTTTTTATTTATCCTCTAAACAATTTTAGCGTGTGTTTAGTTTTCAGTTTGTTAAAAGTTCATTTGGTGAAAGTCAGTTTAGTGAAAGTCAGTTATTGTAACAAAATTTGTATTTGAATACATTTTTTTAAAAATTAGTTTGGTACATTGAAAGTTGTTTGGTCTGTGATAGTGAAATGTGCTTTTGAATATACAATTACCAAAAAAAATATTTTATGATGATTTGTAATTTTTATTATACAAATCTAATATATTAAAATACTTAAAAAATGTGATAAAAATTTTAAACAATATAAATTTTGATCTATAATGCTAGAAATTTGATCTCTAGTTATTTGTATTTTTTTAATTTGTAATTTTAGACAATGTGATAAAGATTTGTAATTTTTATTATACATGAATGCTAAAAAATAACATGATTAATTATTCAATTTATAATGCTAAAAATTTGATACCTAATTATTATTATTGAAATAATAATTATATTTTTAATGAATAAACTATTTTTTAAATAAAAGAATAAGAGATTAAACTTGAGATAGTATGGTCAAATAATATCTTACTTTTTAAAAGTTTCAAATAGTTATGTTTCAAAAATTTACTTTTAGCTACTGTTTGAATGTGCTTTTAGAATGTGTTTTTCTGTAAAATATTTTACCTAAATAACTTTCTGCTTTTTGAAAGTAAAATTTTGCTTTCTGAACATGAAAAGCAAGAAAACGAAACAGACCCTTAACTTTAGATATCATAAGGGGAGAATCACATTCAAGGACTACTTAAATAAATTAATCATAGAGGAGGACTGACAACAAGTTCCATTAAAAATAAATAAATTTACATCTTCATTTTAATAATAATACATTCTGTGTTAGTCCTTGGATGTGATTCTCCCTATTATAATTTATATTTAATATTTTTTAAATTTATGTATTGGTATGTAAGTAAGTATTTGTCTATAAATTAGCCTAATTGTAAATGAAAGTAATCACCTATCAAGATTTTAATTAAATCATATTAAAATACTGGCTTAATAACATTATTCTTAATAATGATGAGCTATATATAACTAAAAAAGATTATGAATAGTAAAAAAATTTTAAAAATGATTTAATAATTAAACTTAACACATTTTCATTATTATTCCTTTTATTTTATGATCCTATATATCATTTATTTGTCATTCTTTATATAAGATACAAAATTTAATTTCATAAATACATTTTGAATGATAATTTTTTTTAATTTTAAATTCTTAAAAATAATTCATAAGAAATTTTTTCTAATTATTTAAATGATAATTTTATAAATTATTTGAAATAAATTAAAATTATATTTATTTTTTAAAGTACTTAGAGGCAACATTTTATATAAATTATTTTTAATTTCAAAATTATTTTTTATAAAAATATTTTTGATGGTGACAAAATGGGGCCACAAAAAAGTTATTTTTTTAGATTTATTATGATTATAAGTGATCTTGTTATCTTAATTGAGTATATTAGGTTGAAATGAATTATTACTTCTTATATAAAGAAAAGTAAAAGAAAAAAAAACTAAGTGAATACTAAACTAACAGGACTAGTCTCCTAATCCTATAGATCAAGTTTGGTCCTGTTAAGTTTCAGGTTATTATTAGATAAAATCTGACTATGAGTTGCTTAATCCAATCATTTTCATGAAAGAGATTAAACTTTAAATTAAGTATAAATTCAATACCATCTAATCCTTTGTGCAGCCTTAGGTGTGATAATGACTATAATTATAACTATCATATTTTTATTTATTTCTTAATAAAAAATTATCAAATTTATCATACATATTTTAGATATTAAAAATGGTTCCCAAAAAAAAAAAAGAGGAACGTGTACGGGTGGAGATTTTCTGCGAATAAGTTTTGTTGATGCAAAATTGAAAAAGGTCTAAACCACAATTTCTAAAAAAAATAAAAAAATAAATAAATTGAGAAATTTTTTCTATATTGGTGAATTGATCCATGGGCCTAATTTAAAATTTGATTGTTGATCTTAGCCAGAAGGCCCATTTTTTATTTTAATTCTGAAAAACATGTTGAACAGATGCCCAATTGTGGCCCAAAAAATAAACCCAATTTGACAAGGGTTTAGCATGGGCCTAATTTAAAATTTGATTGTTGATCTTAGCCAAAAGGCCCATTTTTTATTTTAATTCTGAAAAACATGTTGAACAGATGCCCAATTGTGGCCCAAAAAATAAACCCAATTTGACAAGGGTTTAGCATGGGCCTAATTTAAAATTTGATTGTTGATCTTAGCCAAAAGGCCCATTTTTTATTTTAATTCTGAAAAACATGTTGAACAGATGCCCAATTGTGGCCCAAAAAATAAACCCAATTCTAACTCTCCGTGTTTGTTTTTGCCAAGACCCAATTCTAGTTCTCAATTTGAAGCCCAACTCACGTACTGTTCCTTCTCGAGAAGCCTATCAAATTGGTTTTTCTTGGATTACAACTCATGCAAATGTTATTGGCAATCAACGGTAATTGAATATGACAAAAGAGGCTAATCCTTTACAACATAGTAAATCAAGATTTGGATCTTTGTTGAGAAAGGTGAAAAAAAAAAAGGGTTATTGGCAAGTTAAAAGCTACCTTCAAATTTTAGTTTGATAAAAATTCATTGTTACTAATAGAAGTTATATCTAGTAAAAGACGCTAGTTATTCATAACGTGATAAATTAAGATTTGAATATCTCTTTAGAGAGATAATTACATTTACTGCCTAACAGTACCTCAAATAGAATTGTTTTCAATAAAAGAATACCTACGGATAACCAAAAAAAAAAATCATTTGTCAAAGATTTTCCCCCCTTTTTAAATAGTAGTGTTTCGAGAAGTGAATACCAACCAGAGAGCTTTGTAAAAAAATACTCTTGTAAATTCTGCATATATTTGTTGGACCTTTTTTTTTTTTTGGTAATTAAGCGCTTTAATAGGAAAGCTCTTGCACGCTTTTTTTTTTGGGGTAATAGTGATTTTTCATATTTGAAACCATGCTCTTCTTTCTCATTGAATTTCCAACATGTGGTTTAGGTTTCCAATTTAAAATTGATCCATAGCCTCTCAAAACATCAACAGTAGTACCTCCACCTATCAGCATTCTTTTTAAGTAAACCTAATATTTTATATGTGTTAACTTTGAGTTTTGTTTGGGTGTTCATTACAATGGTGCTCATCACTATGATGAGATCTGAACCATTGAGATTTAAACCATTATTATATGTTATACTTTTTAAAATAAAAATTTATAAAAGTTATAAAATAATTTTAATAATTTTTTATTTTTAATATGGTCTATATTTAATTTGAAGGGTCTAATTTAATATTAAAATTTTTATAATTACTATATATGGACTATTCAGATATACTTTGCATAGTTCAAATTAATATTAGATTAAATCTAGATTCTGTAGAGTACATCCGAATAATTAATATATATCAATTATAAAAATTTTAATATTAAATTGGCCCCTTCAAATTAAATCTAAACCATATTAAAATGAAAAATTTATAAACATTATTTTATAATTTTTATAATTTTTATTTTAAAAAATATAATTTATAATAATGGTTTAAATTTGGACCATCCAGTTAATGGTCCAGATCTTATCATAATAATGAGCACCATGGTGCTCCATTACCAAAAAAAACAAAAAAACTTTTGGTGGCGATAAAAGTTGGTATCAAAAGTTCAAAAGTCATTGCTAAAGGTTTTTAATAGTAATTTTTTGTTGCCAAAGGGTTGTCACTAAAAATCTGATTGCTAATGATTTTTGGTGGTGACAAATATAGTCACTGCCAAAAATATACCATTGTCGTTGCCAAAAGTATTTTGCTGCTAAAAGTTTACCTTTGGCAAGGTATATTTTGGTGGCATCTATGTTCATTGCTATATAAAACCATCAGTGACTACATTTTAGTGGTGACCTTTTAGTGGCAAAAAGTTGCCGGTAAAAACCTTTTTGTTGCTACAAAAAGTCATTTTTTTAAAAATAAAAGAGCCATCTCATGCCATGTCAACTAACACTTTGTGTCATATCACCTATCATGTGTGCACCTCCTCATGCCACATTAATGTAATAAGCACCCAAACCGAGTCTTGTTAACTTTATCCTTTCCCAACAATTAATAGAGCACAGTGACATGACATTAATGGCCATTCATCAATTCAGCAGAAAAAAGCACAAAATTAATCAAATTAACAAGGAAAAAACGTTATTAAGACATTATTATATATTGCCTACCTTTTGCTTAAATAAAAAAGATATTATTATATATTGAAGTCATTTGTGTTCAATCAGTAAGGTAAAGGATAATAAATTAGTCGATCTTAAGTCCCTGGAGGTTGTTTAACAGTAGATGCCTTAATTTGATCATGGCGTAATGAAAATCTAATTGATTCAGCAATTTGATTTGGTTTGAAAAATCAGCACATTGATTGAACAATTTGATCTGGTTATGGAAGTTAGGTTAAAGTATGCTTTTGGTTGTGTAACTTTATATAATGTTGAACAATTGTATTGTCTTTCTCCTAAGCTTAGTTGTTAATAGATTTGGAAGTAATTAATTGTCTTGAATGGACCTTAAATAATTCTCTCAAAATGTTTAGTCAACCCACACTAACTATCAATTAATTACGTTATTACAGATTGTATATGTCTATCCTGATAACTAGCTATGCTTAAGGCTGGCCAACCCTTATTTTTTTCTGTCGACAAATACTTTTTAACCAATGACAACGCAGACATATATACTTGCTATAATATCATTAGTTTATTATTAGTACGAACTAACATAACTATTTATTCTATTATATAATTATTTGCTTTATATTGCCTATGCTAGATGTTTATATAAAATTTAATTTATCAATGATAATAATAATAATATCACAAATGAATATGATCAATTTTTTACGCTGGTGATAGTAGATAGTAAACTATGTAAACAATTACTGGAGAAAGTATTTTTTTCATATTATTGTCTATAATATTTCTCTAGTCTTATTTATAAATCACTTCCAACATGTTTCACCATTATTAAAGAAAACATCAAATCCCATTAACTCTGTCTAAAAGTTTAATAAATTTTCAACTTTCCTCTATTAAATATATATATTTTAATAATATATTTTATCTCTTCAGTATTTAATAGAGGATAAAAAGGAAAACTTATGATAAAAATTTTATAATGTGACTTGTAAAAAAGACAAACAAATTATTCTTTCTGTCCTATAAAGACGAGGAGGGAGTACTATTTTTTTTTTTCTTGTAAAGCGTTCCCTTACTCCCCAAAAACACTCAAAATAATCATGGCTTTGAATTCTACAGAGAAACAAAATGAGATTATTAATGCTCCTTCTTTTCTCAAGGAAGGAAACGATGAATATGATTCATCTATCCTTTTGCCTTTGTCCTGTGAAGTAGCCATATCTTCACTGTAGCTCTAAACGCTGCTATCGAGCTCGACTTGTTCGACATCATCACCAAGGAAGAAGAAGAAGGAACTCATGTCGGCTTTAGAAATAGCTTCCAAGCTTTCATGTTCATGTCAACACAAAGACTTGGTTCTCAGGTTGGATCGTCTCTTGAGGCTTCTCACAAGTCACTCTCTTCTTACTTGTTCATATGAAGAATTTGGCGACATTGATGATAAAGAGATTAGAGTCTATGGATTTCTCCCATTAGGCAGCACTTTTTGAGTGCATCTTTGGGCTTGCAGACAATAACCTTTTCTCATCCTGCATTCACACGTGTTTGGTAAGATTTTTCTTTTTATTCTTCATTTTGACTCATAGTTATACCATTTATAACAATGAGATAATGCGGTGATGGATGATGGTTAATATTTAGAGTTAAAGTAGAAATATAACCATAAAGAATTTTGTGAGAAGTTACTGACATCTTTAACTCAAATATGGTGCAATTTTTACCTGTAAATTATACAAACAATGCAAAAATCCACAATTCATAACGGAGGCTAAATGATCTTTGAATAAAAATTGTGGGTCTCACCTACTGTACCATGTGTAAATGAGTTAGGGGCAGAAATATCTATCATATATTATAATGTGGTGCAATTTTTCTTATAAAACCTAAAATATGGTGCAAAAATCCTCTTGAACAAAACTAAAATGCATTCATAATAATGAAAAAGAGAGGTACAACAACGTAACATAACAAGAGAGATGAATCACTCGTCGATCTTTCACCTCTTTCATCAAGACAAAGTGGAAAATGATCAAAGATTACTACTAGAAAAATGAAAATTCCTCGCTAAATGTCATTTTCCCTAGCTAAATTACATTGTAACGAGAGATTTTGTCCATTGCTAAATTTGTAGTTAAAAGAGGGCTTGCTAAATTTAATGAGAAATAATTAGCGAGGGATTTAATTCCTTGCTAAAATTAGTTAGGGATTGAATCTCTCGATACTATTATTCAAAATTTAATAACTTTAGTAAGGGATTAGTCCCTCACTAAATATGTCTATATTTAAAAATAATGATATTATATCACCTGTTATGTGTGTGTCAACTTGTGGCATGTCACTACAACCTTACGCCTTGTTAGCTACCATGTCATCTATCATTTTGTGCCTCATCACCCACCACATATGCGATAACTCATGACATGTTATTGTCCATCTTGCATTATGCCACTTGCTCCTTACCATATCATATATTCATTATATTTATGTCAAAGTCAAGACTTGAACCTTTGACCTCATACCTTCCAAACCTTATGCTTTTCTTCTTTGTCAGTTGAATTAAAAGACACTTGCAGTCATTATATGAGAAATTAAATATACATTATTTAACTACATAAATATATCAAATAATATATTATAAGAATACACACTTATATACGTGTTAAATATTATTTTTAATTATTAATGTGTTAAAAATATTTATATTTTATTTAAATTATTCTTTATATTATATTTTTAATAAAATATTATTTTATTAATGAAAATCAACTTAAAATAAAGAAAATATTAAATAATTTTATTATGAATATTTTAGTTAACTTTTAAGTTTATTTTTTATTTTTAAATGAAACTAATTAAATATATAATTAAAGATCATTGTCAAAAGTTAAATTTTTTTTGTAGCAATTAGCTAGGGACAAAATATCCCTCACTAAATTCCTTACTAATTATCTTATTTTAGAGAGAGATTGACAGTCCCTTACTATTTTTCTTACAATTCTCTTATTTTAGAGAGAGATTGATAGTCCCTCGTTATTTTCCTCCTAATTTTAAGTCAAGCTATGAAATTAACATTCCATGCTAATTTTCTTATTAATTTGGTATTTTAGAAAGGAATAGATGATTACTCACTAAATTCTCTCTCTAATTTATATTTTTCTAGTAGTTGATGAAATAGGTTCTCTCCAAATTATGTGCTTTCCTAGTAAAAGAATGAGCACTATTAACAACATTTCTATAGACAAAATTACTTGAAACTAAATCCCTGTTAATCATAACATGTTGGAATTTGCATAAAATTCACCTTTGATGAGCCATTAGTGTGATGTGATAATTCGGTAATAATATGTTGATCGAAATATGAAATTAATTTGATTAATTTTTGATTGAATTTCAAAAAGAGAAGTATCCTCTACAATAATGGTGATCATTCAAGTTAATTTATTCCCTCCATAATGAGGCAAATTATTATTGATTTGATTTTTCTTTTTGGAGATGGCCTCCCTCCCTTGTAAATAGAGAAGGTGGATGGAGGTAGTACACACACCAGAACAAATAGTTCTCTAATTTTTTTCTTCCTCTCCTTCTCTTTCTCTCTTCAATTTATCTATGGTGCATGATAGTCTAAACTCTAGTAGTCTAAAACTCTTGTGAGTATTTGGGTAGATTCTACTATGCTCGAATCTGGTAAGACTTTGACCTGAATCCTTTTATTTGGTTTATTATTTATTTAATAATCCTTCATACAATATTGTAAAATAATCTAAAATACCTCAATATTCAACAAGATTACAAGATTTAAAGTAAAGGTGACAAATATATCTAAATCTTCAAATCTTCAAAATGATTGCCCAATAAAAACCAAATCTTCGAATATTCCTCTTCTTGCTTTCCTTGTTTTCATTAGTTACACATTGGCGGCTGATTCAACTTTTCTTATACATTTCATTTCTCTCCTTTTTCAAATAAGGCAAACAGAGATAAAAAAGTACTGCCAATTATAAAAAAAAAATTGAGCATTTTATTTTATTAATTATATATGCTTGTTATTATGTTGTTTCATTTTTTTTTTTAAATTTCTACGCAGGCTGAACTTTAAGGATGCAATCACTGACGAAGACAATGACTTGTTCAAGAAAATTCATGGAATGCCAATTTACCAATACGCAGAGACAGATCCAACATGGAACAAGACTTTCAACAAAGCAATGGCCAATATTAGCAACCTACAAATGAGAAGGACGTTAGAAATATACAAAGGATTTGAGGGAGTATCAACACTTGTTGATGTCGGAGGTGGCACTGGTCAAAAACTAGCAATGATTGTCGCTAAGTATCCTTCAATTAAGGGTATCAATTTTGATTTGCCCCATGTTAATTCAAAATTCACCACCCCATTCAGGTATTTCTATATCATTTTATGCCAATTCAAATAATTAGGATTAGAATTAAGTTTCTTCAACTATCGTGTAGTTTGCGCAAGTAAAGAGAAACACACACACACACACACACACACTTGGTAGTGAATTCCCTGCTTGGAAGATAGAAATAGAACACAATTTGTGTATATGCATCTCTTTCTAATTTCACTTCGTAAGATTTGAGAGTTTAGAAACATATCTCCGGTGATGATAAAACTTCTCTTTTACCACTCGGGATTACTGCAGAGGATTTAGTAGATACACTAGACCTCAAAGACAGAGAGGGGGTGGGAAGCAGAGAAAGTACTTCTTCTGTCGTACTTTTCAAATGCTGAACTTAATTATTTCCCATATTTCACAATCAGGATTTAAGGCAGTTACATTATTTTGAATAACAAAAATTATAATTTCTCCCTCTTAAAGTATTCTGGCAGTCACCATTCTAGTATAAAACAATTATTTAATCCAATTTGGATATTTGCTCACTTGACCAATTCTTTAAGGTTGTAATTCAACGTATGTACTATAGGATAATTAGTGATACAGGTCATCCTTTATGCATATTCCATCTTGTAAAAATATTTAATAACTGGGAAAGAAGAAATATGTAGACAAGTGGAGCAACTATATTTTAAGAAACCATATCTTTTTGAGCTGCTTTTCATTGATGAGCTACTTTTAAATAACCGTTTTTTTTTGGAAGGGATTGAGCATGTCGGAGGTGATATATTTGAAAGTGTTCCAAAAGGTGATGCCATAATGTTGAAGTTTAGTATGAAAACTTGAGATTCAAATTAGTTAGCAGTATTTTGGCATGCTACATTGTTATTTTATTTTAAATTAATGTGCATTTTTACATGTAAACTTTTTTTTTAAGCAGAGGTGATTTAAGTTGGAGCATTTTATTAGGAAAAATTGGCCCACTAGCCCCAAAAAATCTTGTACTTAGAAAATATGGATTAAGTTTTTGAAATTTTGAGAGTGTAGCGAGTCCACATTAATATATAAGGGGTTAATTATTGAAAATATAAAAATTTACAAAAGTTTATAATTACTATATAATGACATATCATTGACAAATATAATTAACCGGTCATTACATAAAATATAATAAATATTAGGCTATCTTCTTAGTAATCTTATAACATGAGTTATATATGCAAAAGTCCCTTATTATTATCCTTTTGTTAAACCTTTGTTATTTAGATTGTTAAAAACTATATCCTTATATAGTTTTTTTTAATTATATCATTATTTTATTTATTATGTATTTTAAAAAATAGTTCTTTGAAATTTCAGTTGTCATTTTAAGGGTTAATATTAATAATCATCCATAAGAAATTAAAGTAATTAATGAGAGAGTTTAAACCAGTCAAATATTATATCATTTCACTTAAGGGTATAATTAAAAAGATGTCAAATTTTTTTAGAAGATTAAGATTTCAACTAACCTTTTTGAAGACCCATTGTGCAGTTACCAATGTTCTATATTGTGAAACTCTATCATGATACTAAAGTTGACTAAATTTCAATGCTAATATATAATTAACATGTTTTCTCATTTTGAAGTTTGTTAACTTTTATATGATTCTCAAACTATTCAAACACATTTTAATTAAATAGAGTATGCTATCTAGTGCAATGTAAGGGGCGCTTCTTAATCAAATGTCTTAATGAAAATGACACACACCACACACACACTCTCTCTCTCTACAAAATTCCAGAATATTTATCTAATTGATTAGGTTTTGGATGAAACAAATAAATATGGATCTTGATGATGTTTATGGTGATACTTTGCAGGCTATTTGCCACAATTGGTCTGATGAAAAAAAGCATAAAACTTTTGAGCGAATGCCATGAAGGATTGCTTGAAAATGGAAGGCTAATTGTGATGGACTTAATAATGCCAAAAGCAATTGGACCAACAGAAGAAGCCAAGCTTGTATTAAGCATGGACAATCTCATGTCATTTTTTGATAGTAAAGAAAGAACTGAAAGAGTTTGAATCTCTCTTAGGCGATCTGGGTTTCTGATTTCAAGGTTGCTTGTTGTGCCTTCTCTGCTCTTGGAGTCATGGAATTCTATAAATAAATGGAGTTAATAAGAATGTATTGTGTTGTGTTGGTGTATTATTATGTATCACTTATTGTCTATGTTGTATTATGTATTATTTAGTTAAATGTATATATTGATATACTATTGATTAAAGTGGCACATGTGTGTGTATTTAAATCAAAACCTTTACTTGGTGCTTCTTCCAGTTCCTGCATTGCTAAATTATATCAGTCTTGGCGACAATTATTCTTAGTTTCTCATTTTTAATCCTTGATCATCTTTATTGTTGTTCTTCTTGTTGGTGATATAATTGTTTGACCAAATCCTAGAATCTTGCTCCGTTACTTACCGAATGAACATGACAAGCACAATTATAAGTAGTTACTAAAGACTTTTTCACCATAAGTTTTGTTAATATTTTTTTGTGAACCAAATGTTGCTGCTAAAAGTTTTTTGTCACTAAAAGTTTTTTTTTTTTTTAGCGACACCTGTCAAAAGTTTTTTTTGCCAAAATATAAAAAGGTTATCTTATGCAAAGTCACTCACTATGAGTGCATCAACTAATGTCATGTCACTTACTATCTCACGCAATGTCACTTGTCATGTGTGCATTAGCTAATGCTAAGTTATGTAACAACTGCAACAATACGACATGTTTCCAACCAAATTTAACTAAAGCATGTCCATAATAAGTATATGGGATTCCAAAAATAAGGCTATGTTTGGATTGTCACTGGATGAGTTTTTTGGGAGCCCTAACCTTAGTTTGAAAAGCAAAAGTTCACTGAGTGATTTAAAAATATGTTTGGATTAAAAAAAATTCAAAAGAGATTTTACTTCAAAAGCCCATCCATTGAGATAGAAGTTCAAATTTTGGCTTATGGTAAAGGTGAAGTGCGTTGCATATTATTCGAGGCAAATGAATGTCAAATTTTTCTTTATCTTCTCTTTTCTCCTCTCTTCCAATTTTTCGGATACAAACTTATTATTTTTGCAATCTTTTTCAGATTCAGGAGGGGGAAACCTGTAGCAGATTTTTCATTCTCATTTATTTTTTTATTCAAAAAAAATTGAAGGAGGAATTAACTGTAATTTTTAATTTATTTTTATAAAACAATAAAAAACTATATATAACACAAATCATGTGAGATTGTTTACGTATGTTGTATAAAGTCTAAAAATTAAATTGTATTATTTTTAATTTAGTAATATTCAATGTTTTATTAATTTTATTTTATATAAAAAGAATATTATATTAATAATTAATTTTTAATTTATAAATTTATTTTATCATTTCACTCTACCTTTTTGCTTAAAAATTATGATTTTTTATTTACCAATTTATTTTAGAATTTTTAAGTCTCTTTTTTCTAAAAAAATTATAATTTAAAGTTATTATTTTTCTTAGAAATATCAAATGAGTTACAAAATATATTTATATATAACAAAATTCATGTATATTTTTGTCATATTATATTTTTAACTGACTTTTGAATCCAATCATTCAAATAAATTTCAGTTTATTCAACTAACGTCTAAATAAAAGATATTCAAACATAAATCACATTAAAGTCATAAACTTTTCTTCTAACCTCAATTTTCTAACCTCAATTAATTCTGACCTCAGTTGTGAATTTTTTTAATCTAAACACACACTAAAACAATTACGCTTAAGGCAGATGAAGCCCAACTAACAGTCCAAGACAAGTCCATAAAATTTAACAAGAATATCCAAAACAAAAACCCAATAATTATGTAAAATATATTAATCAATTATATAATTCAGCCCTAGCCCATGGAAACAAAATCATTAAAAAAAAAAAACTTGCACCAACCAGAGAGATATGGAGCCAATAGCTCACTACTCTAGTGCCTTCCCTGAAATATTATCGGATTGATCACCTAAAAATGATAAGAGGTAACATGTGAAATTTAATGTCTTAGTAACCATTGGATATTCTAACATACACTAGCATATCAATTAAAAATCATTTTGCAAACCATATTTAGATAAATCATTTTTATAAAAAAAATAAAGGAAGATAACATAAAATTTAAAAATAACTAACAAATAATCATTTTTTATTATTGTAACCAAATATAAAATAATGTCTGCTTTTTATAAAATTTGTACAAAATAAATCTCTTTTTGTAAAATCTATGAACTACCTAAAAATCACTTATTTTTTAATTTTAAACATATGGGCCTCAAAATGAGATTACAGAAGAAGGAAGAGCTGTAACCTGTGGTGAGGAAATTAATGGCAGGAAATTTAAATTCTAAAATATGCATTTAATTCCACATACAATAATAGAAAGATTTTTGCATCAGTGGATGGTATGTCTGGTTAGAAAATTGAAATTTTTGTCTTCAGCTCTTCTGAAGCATAAAGTAAGAAAAGGAGATGAATAAGTCAAATTTTTATATTTTTCTCAAATATAAATTTTTCATACATTTTAAATAATATTGATCTTTTAAGTAGAGAAATAATTTAAATAATTTAATTGAATCTTATTTAACCTTATTAATCTATTTTTTTTAAAGATCATGGCTTGACACTATACCTTTAAAATTTAAATCTTCTTGAATAAATTTTCTTTTCTCAAATAATTATTTAGGTAAATTTAATTAACCTAAAATAATATCATCAAATTTAAATAAATATTTAATAGATTCAATTTACTCAATAAATTAATTTCTGTTACTTAAATTTTATAGATAGAAGTTAGGATGTTACATGTCACTTGTAACCTCGCGCCACGCCATCTGCCACAAGTGCATCATCTCATGTCATGTTATAACAAGGATCTCATATGTATGTGAACAATCTAGTTAATCTCTAATCATTCTCTACCTTATAATAATAAGGTGGATTTAAATAATGTTTCACATTCTTCTTAGTAGTAATTTGTTTATAAAAAGCTTTTAGTAGTTTCTTCTTCTTTTGTTTTTTTTAATAACAATGGAAGCCTAAGCACTAGGTAAATTCATGTGACATCCTTGTCCAAAAACCAAAAAGCCATCGGAGCTCAGTGGATAAAGTAGTCACCATGTGTATACCAAACCAAGCATCAAGTATACCAAACCAAGCATCAAGTATACAGTATGCCAAGTAGTCCATAATACCATTTGTATCTCTTGAAATCTGCATGCACAACTTTCAACATCTTAATCCCTTTGAATCAAGCTTTGAATATCCATAATTAGGGGTGTTCATGGGATGGGACAGGATCGGACATCCCATCTCGTGTCCCATCCTAGAAAAAAGATCGAGACTGAATTTTAGTCTCGTGTCCCGTCTCATTTGAAAAGTCATCCCGTCCTGTTAGGAGTCAGGATGAGACTGGGATAAGATCAGGATGTCTCGCCATCCTGATAAATTGAATAATATCAAAAAAAAATATGGATAATAGCGTTCATTAAAATTTTAAATTATATAATTTATTAAGTTTAAAATTAAAACAATAGAAGTACATAATTCACAACAATTTAATGTCAATTATTGAATTACATTAATCACAACTACACATTATAAATAGCAAACACAAGTAATCTTTAGGCTATAAGAGTAGCAATAATAAATAAGTCAAGTACAATATCAAATCATTATTCTTCTACTTTAGTGAGATGTATTAAACTAATTACTTTTCTAAAAATAAAGCAAAAAATACGTTATAAATAAAAGTTATTAAATAAATAGATAAAAGAATAAATTGTATCAATATATTTAAAATAAAAAATAATGTATATATAATATTCGAGATAGGACGGGATGTCCCGATGGTAATCCCGTGTCTTGTCCCATCTTGAACCCCTTTCCTGTCTCGTCCTCTAAAGTCACGTCCCGATTATTTTCAGGCTGGGACAAGACTCGTCTCAATATGATCAAGACGATACTAGGCCCATCAGGACGGGTTCAAATTGAACACTCCTATCCATAATAGCACCTTTATTCAAGTAACTTTTTCACAAGATGACGAAAAATTGAATCTAAAATATCGAATTTTAGAATGTTTTTACTTTGATATTTTTTATTTATCCTTTAAACAATTTTAATTTTAGATATTATAATGGAAGAATTACATTTACAGACCACTTAAGCAAATTAATCGTAGACAAAGACTAATAACAAGTTCTATTAAAAAAAACCATGTTAATAATAATTCATTCTGTATTGGTCCTTATTTGCGAATAATTTGTTTAAGTAGTCTCTAGATGTGATTCTCCCTATTATAATTTTATTTAAGATTTTTTAAATTTATGCATTTCTATGTAAGTAATTATTTGTCTAGCCTAATTATAAATAAAAGTAATCACCCATCAAGATTTATTTAAATTAAATTAACATACTAGCTTAGTAACATCATTCATAATAATGATGAACTATATACGTCTAAAAGAGAATAATAAAAAAAAAATTATTTAATAATTAAAGTTAACACATTTTCATTATTATTCCTTTTATTTTTTGATCCTATATATAATTTAGTTCTCATTCTATATATAAAATTAAAAATTTAATTTCATAAATATCTTTTGAATGGTAATTTTATTTAATTTTAAAATTTTAAAAAATAATTTAGAAGAGATTTTTTAATTATTTAAATGATAACTTTATAAATTATTTGAAATAAATTAAAGTTAAATTTATTTTTTAAAGTACTTTTAGTGGCAAAATTTATATAAATCAGTTTTAATTTTAGAATTATTTTTTATAAAAATATTTTTGATAGTAACAAAATATGGCCACAAAAAGTTATCTTTGATGGCAAAAATTTACTTTCATGGGCAACAATTAAAAATGGCCACCAAAAATCCATCTTTAGTGGTCACAAATAAAAAGTGTTGCAATGAGTAAAAGTAGATCTTTGACAGTGATGTTTTTTATCATCATCGAATTGTTTTCTTTTTCTTTTCATAGTTATGAGGCCTTGGGTATTATAATGTAA